CCTCGTGGAGGAAAATGTGCTGCAATGCACAGTAATGCGATAGTGTTATACTTCTTTTTGTAAGAGGAAGAGTCCTGTGTAGCATACCAGCAGTGCATAGAGATGCTGCACCTGCATTACTCTTGTTGAGTGAGATTATTTGTAATGTTAATATTAATCAATTAATGTTCAGTTCAGGATGAATGTAGACATTTGAAAGAAGATGGCTGAGACCTGTGCAGTTACTCTCTTGGAAGGGCAAGCACATTGTATGTGGGGTAACAGATTATCCGAAGGCAAACCTTAGGACCTGGGAGAATTCATGGTGCTGTGAGGAGGACTGGGTTGGCACGTGCCCTGCTGAAGAATGCTGGTGTAACATGTGCCTGCTTGACAGGAGGGAGGCAACCTTCAAACTAGAGAAGAGCAAAGGGAATAAAACTCAAATCCATAACTTATCGATCTACAAACTTAACCTGATGTTTGATCTGATTTTTGGATGGTCTTGTGTGGAGAAAAGAGTTGGACTGGATGATCCTTTTGGATTCTTTCCAACTTGGGATATTCTATGATTCTATGAATTTAAGCTGGGTGCAAATGCAGCAGATTGGAGCAATGTGTGTGCTCACTGTGTGGAAGGGCTCTGGCAGCTCATGCTGGTGGACTGGCTGCAAGCAGCAGGGAGGCTGCAGAGTTGATATTCTTGAAACCAAGGCTATGCCTTGTTTATGAGCTCGCTTAAATAGAAATCACATGAGAAGTTGCATCACTTTGCAATGCAAAAGTGATTCTGCAGAGAAAACTCTGCAGAAGTTGCGGACTTTGCCATCAAAGCTCAGGAGATGTGATATTCAGCCAATACACCTCCTGATTTCATTTTTCCATGTGATTGTTTCCTATTTTCTTCATGCTGTGGTATTCAGTTGGACTGACGTATTTAAAGATATAATAACTGGGATCTGTGCTTTTTAACCTCAAAGAAGAAAAAAAAAAAAAAAGAAACTGCAGGAGAGTTTAAGTAGGTGTTTGTGAAGTTGGTGTTAGGTTGGTTCTGAAGGGGAAAAATAATCATCTTAAAAGTAGGCAAAAAAGACTGAGGGGTCTTTGAGCAGTGATTGCATCAAGTTACTCTGAGTTGGAGCTGATGCATCAGTTGGTGCTTAGGGCAGCATGCAATCTTGGATTTTCATTTTTCTTTTGTGTCTGCTGCATCTTTTCACACAGTTACTATTCCCTGTGCTTCTTTCTTTTATGCTGTCAGTATTTTGCAGCTTAGCCTTCCCTTCCCTGTAATGATGTTTACATACAGTTTAGGTTTTCATTGTGATTTCTAGAGAGCTCTGATATCTTGAGTTTGAAGATACATGCAGATGGTACACTGCTAGTTAGTTGTATTACATGTTCATGACCATTTAGAAAATAAGTCTGGCTTACAGGTTTGTGAGGGTCCTCAGAGGGTAACTGGTGCAACTGCTATGAGCCACTGGTTTAAAATACATTGCTCAGGCATTCCAAAGCAGTGTCATAGACCCTCTTTAAACATGTTCATGCCTCTAGCAAGGCCCACATCCATGTGGTGCATTTCGTTGCTGTTCCACTGTTTTTTGTATAGATTTTCCTATTTTGACATGATGAGAAAAATGTCTACTGCATTTACCAGTGTAGCACATTGTTGACATAAAGGCAGAGAGATTGCTCACCAGTTACCATCATTGTTGAAGCAGCTTTGGATTAGGAAAAATAAATTTAATTAATTGACAAATAAAATAGATTTGTATAGCGAAGGGAAAAAAAAAAAAATAGACAAAACAGACAAAACATCACATTCTTTTCCAAAGTTCAAACTTCACTCCTTTGCCAGCTCCTGTATCTCCTCCCCCAGCTCTAAATAGCACAAGGCCAGTGGATGTGGGGGCTGCAGTCAGTCCATAGCAACCCATCTACCACTCCTACCCTCCTACATGTCTCCTCAGTTCCAGCGCAGGTCCCTCCCATGGACTGCAGTGTAGAACTTCTGTTTATGTGCATGTTCACATGTGCTTAGTTTGAGTTTTATAATTCCATTTCCTTGTGTAAGTACCTGAAGTCGAACAATGGACAAGATAGCGTATGAATCTGTTTAACAGCTGGAAGTTGTGCTATTGTCAGCAAAATAGCAACAATTTGAATATAGCAGAGTTGCCTTTTTCTACCTGTTTTGAATTATATATATGTTGGTGCATTAGACTTTCTGCCTGATTTTGCTTCACTTCGGTATTTCAATATTTCTTGCAAATTAAAAATGGAAATATAGTCAAACAGTTCTCTCAACGTCAATCAGCTCAATTTAAATGAAATATTTACCCTAGAAAGTAGGGTCATATTTACATATAGTAAAACCAGTCAAAGCTGGAATTGGTTTGATTGCTTTAATCATGGATTTTTCACCAAAAATGATATTGGGCACAATATTTGCTTTTCTGAATGAAAATTTGATCAACCTAGTAGCATTGCAGCACTGGGTAGATAACTGTAGAAAGTATCATTTTGTATATGGAACTGATGAATATAACCCTCCTGCCCACCAACAGTAAAAATTCTGTTTTCAGAATTAAGCATTTACTTTGTACAACGTTCACTATTATCTCTTCACAAGGTGGAAATGAGATCTAGCTGTTCTGTTTGGTGCGAGGTGAGTGCTTGTTCTGAAGGAAGCTGTGGGCTGCCATGGGCTACCTCAGCGATGGTGAGTGTGGTGTGGATGTGTGGTGGTGCCCCTTGGTTGGTGAGGATGTCTACCTTCCTCCCAAGACACCTTCAAAAGAACTGCTCCCTATAATCAAGCATGTACATTTCTCCATGAGTTGCTTTTGTCCTTGCTTTCTGGAGCAGAATTGATACACTTAGGTGTTACCTTCAACCTATGTGCCTGTCTTCTTCTCTGGTTGTCTCCTATATTATCCATTTCAACAATAAAAGTCTTTGGAGCGTCATCATCTAGTGGGTGGCAGCTCTGCCCATGGTTTGTGGTTTGGAACTGGATGATCATTTTGGTCCCTTCCAACCCAAGCCATTCTGTATTCTTTATTAGGGCTTCCCCCTCAGATTCTCAGCTTCTAAGTCTTTGTGCTGTTTCTTCTGTCAAGAAGGAAATTCATCGAATATCACCACTTTGAGAACTGTTCTTTTGCAGCATTTTATTTTTGAAATGTGCTATTTAATACCTACTCTTAAATGAGGACATTGTAAGTCTGCTATGTGGTAATATATTATGAGTTAATGTACAAAGAAGGGATGTGTGTAAGGTGCACATTTGCATAAAACAGTTCTTTTTGGGGTTTGCTGTGTATGTAACATCCCTTTAGTGAACTTTCTCTGTGTTAATCATGGAACAAAGGGTTTGATTTCTGAAAGCACGTTGCAGAAAGGAATATAAATGCTTTCTAGGTGAAACAAAAGACAAAATCAGTAACAACTGTGGTTTGGCAATAAAGTAATGAACTATTTTAGAAAATTAAAAACAAAACAAAATCAAGTGGAAAGTGTTTGTGTAGTGCCAAACACAACTGCAACTCCTGTGCTTTTCCTGTTTGCTGAATGTTTCCTTATCAAGAAAGTACTTCTGTAACAGGAAGTTTTCCAGCCAACCCCTTGCTTCCCCATACTGAGTACTAAATAGTTAAAAGTTCTCCTGTAGTTATAAGAAGGAATTGTATTGGATTATCTACCATGCTAAAGGTGTTCCCATGTTACTGTCTTCTCACTGTACTGCAGAAGCTCCTAGTAGGAATTTAAATTTTGCCTATGTTTTTAAGAAACTTGCTTTATTTTCAGATAAAAATTTTGAAAGGTAACTATTATGTAATGCTGATAATCCAGACTATTCAGACTGAAAATTAAACTTCACATTTAGTCTTTTCCACTTACCATTTTCCCTCTCTCTGTAGAAAAGGATACACAAAGGCACTCTCTGTGAGTTTAGGAAATAGATGATAGCATGCAAAGTACTGTTTGTGTGCACTGTGATGTTTTTAATTTTATTTAATGGTGTTTTTTGAAAATGTCTAAGATCAGAAGAGAAGTGAGTTCAGATAGCACTGGGGAGGGAAATTGTATATCTGTTTATTTGACGTTTTCTTATCTGGCCTTCAAATGAGTAAAAAAGATTAAAAAGGAGGAAAACTATGCAACCAGAACTACTCAGTCAACTAATGACGTCCAACAGTCAGCTCTTTCACTCAGTATTTCCTCTGGAATAAAAGCTATTTAGTGCAGATAGAAATTACTTCATCCATCATAGAAGCATAGAACTGTTCTGTTACTCTGTGTGGGGGCTTATCAGTGCTGGGCCGGGGAAGGAGATGAAGAATAATATCCTCTTTAATTGAATTTGCAGAATGGAATGCAGGGAGGAAGAACACCCTGGGCCCTGGGCCATCAACCTTGTATTAATGAAAAATGCTTTAATGACAGCAATGACCAGGTGCCAGGATATGAAGTATGCCGGTTTGGTGTTGTGCTTCTGTTTAACATTGAGTTTTGAGCTACAGAGGCAACTTCACATGTGGACAACATCTGCACATGGTCTTGCTTTCTGCTAACTTGGTTGCTCAGTGGGAGAAAGATGGTTCCACTGGAGTGCAATGGGGGATGAGAGCAAATATAATATAAGCACATCTTTGTGGAAATTTCTTCATTAGAAAAAGTGATTTTTCCTATTGATGTCATTTTCAGCAGCAATTACTGTTTTCTGCCCTTTCCAGTAAAAGTAATGATGATATGTAACATATCCAGAGGTGACCTGATACAGAATTTTAAGTTCAGGGTTTATAAAGAAAACTGTGACATCACTTTTCTGAAATGAAGTCTGATAAAATCAAATACTTAGAAGTTAGCAGTAAATTGCAGTTGGCAAGTTTTTGCAGTAGCAGTATTTTTTTTCTTGTCATTTATGCCTATGTGGAACATCACTGTGACAGATGGTTTTTTTTCCATGGAATATATAACATCAGTGTGATAGATTTTATTTTTCCCCCCCCCAGAATATGGTGGAATGGGCTTGGACTTCTCCTATAGCATTGCAGTGGCAGAGGAGCTAGGAAGTATCCGGTGTGGAGGTATCCCTATGGCTATTGGGGTTCAAGCTAGTATGGCCACTCCTGCGCTAACAAGGTAATTTTCAAAATGTTTAGTTTAACCTAAAGCTCAAACTGTTGTGTGTTTAAGCTTAAAAAAACATCCTACCACATGTTTTAGAGTAGGAGGAAACATTACTGCCCAGATTATGTTGTAGTTGCTCATTAGTAAGGATTCAGAAATGGACTTTCTTTCTACCTGTCTTTCACACAGGTTAATTTAGGGGAGAGAACGCACATTTTTAATATTAGAGTATTATATAATAAAGGTAGGCCTTGTTTAATAGTAAGTTATCTGTTTCCAAACACAGAACCTTGGTGCTAGAATCAGTCAGGATTCCAGAATCCATGTTAACGCTTTTTTTTCTTACCTAGATATCCCAGTGCAGTCATACTAACGTCACATTTAGTAGTAATTATTAGAATGAGTCTAATTGTGTTTTAACATTTATTTGCTTTTTTCCAGTATTTCAAGGTGTTCCTTGCCAGCTCTGACTTTTTGGAAATAATTATCAGGATTGGTGTAAATCCTGCTAAAATGTTAGCACATACTATGCTGCCTGAACACTCCCATTCAAGTCAATTACTCATCATACTTTTTTTCATGAGCTCATGTCAGTGTTCATCTTTTATCACTTTATTTCACTCAAGCTCCTACACTCTTTTTTTTTCCTTCCCTCAGTAAGAAGCAGTTGTCTGCTTCTCCATCTTGACCTTCACAGACATTCTGCCTCAAAACAACAGTCTGCAAAACTAGAGGGAAGTGACACTGACAAACTGCTCCAGCAGTTTGCCCCTGGGATATGAGTTCATCTAAAAGCTCTGGAAGGTGGTGGTGGTGGGAATTAACTTCAAATAATGATTATGAAGCCAGATTTTTTTCATTACTAAACAGATATACAAGAGAGTACTTGCACAGAAGTTGTTGGTTTTGTTTGTTCATTCTATTAGAGAAAATATTTCTAAATCCAACTGGAATTTGGACTCTCTTCCCAGTCATCCATCCATCCATCCATCCGTCCGTCCATCTATTCTTCTACTAGCTATGTGTGACTTTGGAGATCTTAACCATAGAATATCTTCTTAGAAATTTTGTTCTCCTTTGTGTAATGCACCAAAATCTTGCTGAAAGTGTGGAGGTCATTATGTCTGTTGCAACAGACTTATTTATAGTCCAGTGGAGGAAAAAAAATACAACACTAAACCACTGATATTTTAAAAGATCTTGCCTCCTTGATAGCCTTTTATTCTCGAAGTTTTAGGAAAATCAGCAGGTAAAAGAAGATAGAATTTTCTGCCACTGCAGTTTTTTTGGCTTTATGTTGCTCTGTTCTGGTACAGCAATGAAACTACATACATTTGTGTCAGATCCTAAAGAAGATGTTTGCAGAAAGTGAATTTGGAATTTTTGAATTTGAATTTTTTAGCTAAGTTTTGTTATAGATGATGCATCGATGATGCACAAAGTAAGCTAATACAGAAATCAAACATCATACAGAATCACAGAATCACAGAATCACCCGGGTTGGAAGGGACCTCAAGGATCATGTAGTTCCAACCCCCCTGCCTAGCAGGGCCACCAAACACACACATTCAGATCAGGTTGCCCAGGACCCCGTCCAACCTGGCCTTAAACACATCCAAGGACGGGGCATCCACAACCTCCCTGGGCAGCCCGTTCCAGGGCCTAACCACTCTCCTTGTATAGAACTTCCCCCTAACATCCAACCTAAATCTTCCCTCCTTCAACTTCGATCCATTTCCCCTAGTCCTGCTGTTGTCAGCCCTTTTGAAGAGTTTACTCCCCTCGTGGGTGTAGATTCCCTTCAGGTATTGATAGGCTGCAATGAGGTCACCCCGCAGCCTTCTCTTCTCCAGGCTGAACAAGCCCAACTCCCTCAGCCTGTCCTCATAGGGGAGGTGCTCCAGCCCCCTGATCATCTTAGTCGCCCTCCTCTGGACCCTTTCCAAAATCTCAATGTCTTGTACTGAGGGCTCCACACCTGGACACAGTACTCCAGATGGGGCCTCACAAGAGCCGAGCAGAGAGGGACAATCACCTCCCTGTCCCTGCTGACCACCCCTCTCCTGATGGAGCCCAGGATCCCATTTGCCTTTCGAGCTGCCAGAGTGCACTGCTGGCTCATGTTGGCTCATCATACCCTGAAAAGTAATTTAAAAGAAGACTGAAAGTCATTTGTTGACTTTCCCAAATTTGGGTTTCATTAAGCAGGTTTTGAAAATGTTACTCATATCTGCTTGCCTGTTCATGCTCTTTCCACCTTTCACTTCTTTGTTGTTTTTTTTTACTGACAACCTTCAGAAGACTATATGCATGATCGTACTTGGAAGCAACCCTGCAGATTTTGAATTATGTGCACTTCTATCGTGCAGACAATTACTGAAGAAAATAGTTGTGCTTTACTGAAAGCCCAGACTGACTGTTCTGTTATTTTCAGATTCCTCCAAGTGAAGCAGTAGCACTTCTAAATTTGAGAACAAAATACATAATGTTCTGTCAACAGTGACCTGGCCTGTGATGTGTCTGGTTCTGAACATAACTCTCTGTCAGATCTTTCAAATTCATTCTGGATAAAGTGCCTCTCTTGCTTTCATGCTTACAAGCAGAGCGGAGGAAGCAGCTTTCAGCTGAAGCAGTGAATGAAATGCTGTTTCCTTGGCTTGTAAAAAAACCTATAATGTGACACATCCATAACCACATCAGCATAAAGCTCTTTTATCTCATCAACAGACACTAAACTTTATGGGAAGACAGTAAGGATAGTGAGGATTTTTCAGTGGGAAGACTGCTTTTCTATTTCATTGACTTACGCATTGCAGATTCTTTCTCTGTGCTGAAAAGTGGCTGAGAATTAGTGTCAAAAGCACGAAGATGTTACTGTCTCTGTTCCTGTTTGCTGTAAGGGAAATAAGTTACAGCCGACAGTAAGAATAGCGGTTCTGGAATGCTGGATTATCTGCTGAATCATCTGGGGAAATGGTGAAAATGGGAAGAGGTGATCTGACAGCTGGGTGGCTTGCCCGCAAGCTCAGCGTAGGAGAAACTCGGTTTTGTGCTCCTTCAGCAACCCTGTGTTGTCCGTGTCATTTGGCACTGAATTTATTTGCATGCTGGGCTTGTCCTGAGCCATCACAGAGACTGCTGCAGATTAAGTGAGGAGAAACAGAAAAGTTATCTGAGAAGCCTGACTTCTGAGGAGATCTAAAATATTTCTACCACCAGTGCTCATTGTCCTGTTTTTCCAAGTCTCCTTTGTGCCCTTCTGGGTGCAGGAGCTGTAAGCCAATTCCTCCCAGGCCTGGAGCTGGCACAGACCAGAAGCAGTGTGCCCACACTGGGTAGAGCAGCCTGTGCTGGTAACTCCTGTGGAAAGTTAGAGGTTGTCCACATCTGGGTGCAGACGTGGTGGAAGAGCTTCCACGACCACAGTAATATGGGTACCCTGGGGCAGTGTGAAGCCAAGCAGCTGCTTCCTAACTATCTTCTCTGAAAGCAGTCACACTGCTGTCCTTCTCTCTGAGAGTGCTGCAGGCTATGGTGACAGCTGGCCATTCTGCAGCCTGTCAGGTGGGGGGGAGCAGCAGGACACCAGCGATGCTAAAAACTGCATTCTCTGAAGAAGGTAATCTTTACTTTGACTCCTCTTTCACAATGCCCGCACTTCAGTGCAAAACTAAATAAGTAGTTCAGTGCATTCCTAAATGAATAGAAGATTGACGTAGTCATTCTTTACCAGAACCCTTGGAATAGTCAGAAGGGGCTCCTGGGTTTCCCATCTGTTTTCTTTTCAGAATGTCTCTGCAGCTCAAGCTGAGCAATTTATTTCATATAGTCTTCAAATAATTCAAGCTTAAAAGCTTGATAAAAACTGGGAGCCAGAGTATATTTTTCTTCTTTTTTCCTTATGCTGCCTTTTATGATAAGTAAATAAATTTTCTAAACGTGGGTGTTTTTAAACTTGCATGTCTTCTTATCTCAACTGAAATAAGGACTTACAGAAAGAAAGCTGATTGCAGTATGGATCCTTTTAAAGCCTTTGAAAGCCAAATTCCTGATCCTAAGGAGGCTTTCCCACTGCTTGAGGGAGCTTGATGCTGTTCCCCATGCATTTCTTTCCCTGCCTGTAAGGAAAATTTATTGCCTTTCATCTTCTCTTGCTTCTTTCCGTGTACATTGAGGACCCAAGGAATACTGCTGAGCTGGGACTAGACTTAATGGTAGGATGCCTGTGCAGGATACACAGAAATCATGCAAAAGCATGGCATGTGGCAAACGTATTCTTAGTAGTTTGAGTATGGGAACAGAATAGAGAGGGAACTGGAAGAAATTCACCTGTTGCTATTAAGTGATCAATGGTCAGAGTGACCTTCTTTGGGTGAAGGAAATCTTTCTATTCCTGGAAAGTCCACGAGTGAATTCCTGTGTCATCTTTGACATAATATAGAATAATGCATAGATCACCTGAAAGCTTTTTTTGCTTTATTTTGCTTTGATGTTGAATAATTCTTTTGAAGTTGCTGCACCATTAATGCCTACCTTCAGCCCTATTGAATATGTGAATGTGCATCAGGATCAATGTTGTCTCTCACAACTGTTCTTGAAATGACTGGTTAGAAAATCTCTTGTATTCAGGGGGAGTATTATATTCTCTTTCAAGAGGTCCAGAGGCCCATGTGAGAATTTGGAGTAGGCTATATTTCTCAAATGTTTAAGCTCCAGCAAGAAAGCTTCAGTTGATCAAATGCTGAGAGCTGTGCTAGAGCTGCCTGCAAGTTGCTCATATTCAAAATTTCAGTTTGCACTTAATCATGAATCAAACAATGTTAGTTCTACTCAAAACCTCCTATGCTTAATTAATTAATTCAATTCAGCTTAGCATTTTTTTCTAGGAAGAATAAGAAACAAAAGTGAATGAGATCTGCAGCTCTAACAAGGTGATTATCGACCCAATTAAGTCAGAACAGTGATGTGCAATAGATATATTTTCATTCAATATAGCAATCAAACCTGTCAGAAACAGCATTTTTTATATATTTGAGATTAACAAAACTGGCTTCCATTTTCTAATTTGCAGAGCACTGAAACAAAACTGGGTGGATCAAGAATACATTCTAACATCTGTATTTCATCATAATTCTTTCACCTTTTACCCACCATTTATGAGGTTGTTTATCACTGTCATTTTTGTGTCTATATTCATGACATTCAACTAATATTACTAACAAAGTGTGGACTATTTTCATGTAGTTCTAATGTATTAGAATTTCACATGTGGAACTTCTGGATTATCCAACATCAGTAAGGAGCACACCTGCATAAAAATGACTTTGAGATGGATGTTAAAGCTTCATAGTTAATGATGTGTGACCCTATGCTTGAGGGTATGATCTCAGCCCAGAAAGCAGACATAATCTGGTCTATCTTGAGTCAGAGCAAGTCTCGTTGCATAGTTTTCTCATGCTGGAGCTGTTAAACTGGAAAGAAGTGAACACTGCATTTATGCAAACCTGATACCTTTCCAGGATGTATTTAAGGTGGGTAGAATTTAACAAAAGCAATATACTTCTAACACAATAGCTGGCCATTTGCTGGGCTGCACATCCTTCCTGCAGAGCATGATCTTCAGAAGGTAACATTGGCAGACTACTTTTTTAATTACAAAATAACTTCTCCAGCCTCATTTTTGGGAAGAGCTGAACTTTTTTTCTGGAATTTAAAACAAGCAAACAAATCTGTCAAATCCCAAACATTTTCTTTCTGAGGAAAGTTCTTGCCATGGAAATCCTCTATTCAAATAACTAAAGGTTGGCAAAGTTTTAAGCATCAGTAAGTATTGCCAGAACACCCTAATAGACAGTCCTGCCAGTTCATCTTATAATCTAAATTTTTATGTTGTTTTTCGTTTGGTTTTGTTTTGTTTAAAGAGTGCTCTCAGTTGGCCACACACAATCATGTTCTATGGAAAAAACAACTGCACTGTATGACAGACCAGGGGATTGAACACTGCAAGCTTACTTCTTGTATTTATTTGGGACTGCAACTGTGATTGTTATGGGCCAGGACAGCACTAGGAGCTGAGCTCCTTGCGTGCACAAAGGGAGAGTGTCTGCCAACTCCCACTCTGGTCCCTGGCTTCTTGTGGCCTCTGACTGCTTTGTGGCAGAAAGCAGAGAGAAGGGGTCAGCCTTGGAAGTATGGTGCCAGTACTGTAGAAGAGCCCAGCTAGCTGCAGCCTGCTTAGGCAGCTGGCAAGCCAAAGATCAGTTGAAACACTGACCTGAGAAGCCTCTTAGCTAGGAGGGCACATTATCACTAATTGTAAAACATATATTTCCTGTCTGTTACGGATTTCTGCTCACAGAGGAGAGGTCTCACAATTCAAGGACTTCTGTTTTTGGGACAGGAGAGGTTTAAGAACAAGAGTGTGAGCTAACCATTCAGGCTCCAAGGCCAAACTTGAAAGTTGGTTAAGAAAAAAATCAACCATGAAACCACATTTTGAATGGGTAAAAGCAGCTAAATTTAGGAAAAAAAAAAAATCTCTTTCAGTGAAGGAGAAGGAGTCACTGTTTCTCGGAGCCTTAATAAAAAAGGCACTGTTACACAAGAGCCCTCAAGCTCCTTTGCCGACATCTTACAGGGGAAGGTGGACATTTCTGGGGAGAGCTGGCTGACCCTCAGCAGCCTTTCTGCCTTTTGAAGGGGAAAGGACAAAGGAGAGACAGGCATTGCTTCACTGCTGGATGCAACACAACTGTCTTTCTGCAGACTGTTCATCCTTGTTTTTCCTCCTCTCCGTCCAAGAGTGCTTCTTCATTTCTCCCAGGGACTGGGACTCAGCAGCTCCCTTCTGTCCCCAGGTGTGCCTTTGGTTCTTCTACCATCTTGTTGAAGAAGTAGCAACCCTGCTCTACTAAAGCTTGTGGTGTCACAAAAAGAGGTTTGGTCCTCCTCGTGTTGGTGTACAGGGCAGGCAGCTGGTAGCCCAGAGCACTGAGTTTAGGTATTTTGTGAGATTCCTAGGAAGCTAAGATTAGGTTCCTGAGGGGAAAGGTTTTATCACATGCACATATTGTTTCTTTTTCATCAGCTGGCAGATTTAGCTGCTGTCTTGGTCACTGTTTTGACAAGAAGCATAACTTTTTAGTCACTACTAAAACCTAGCAAAGAGATGGTACAGAAACCAGAAGGTATGCAGAGAGAGGAGCCAACATTTCTTTGTGTTTGATAGCTCTCAATGCAGCAATCATAAAGATAAGATTTGGAGCATTAGAACCACAAATTTCCTTCGAAGTAAAATGTTTGTATAAGCCTTGTTTAAAATGGTTGTGGCTGCACTTCCAGTGAAGATTGATTCATAGCTTTGCACAAAGTCCCTTCTCTCTTTGACTTCAGGATAGATTTTACCTAGTCACAGACAAATTGATCACTGAGTAAAAGAAAATTTGTGAGTAGCCTGTAAATAAAGTTTACCTCGAAAAGCTTTTAATATCCTGACTTTTTATTATATTGCAGATTTGGTTCTGATGAGTTGAAAAAACAGTTCCTCACACCAACTATATCTGGAGATCTTGTGGCATGTTTGGGAATCAGTGAACCTGGAGCTGGATCAGATGTTGCAAGTAAGTTAACCTAGCAAACTACCAATTTCAGACCACTTGGTATTTCAGGGGAAGGAATCTGGCTTCACTGATGCCTGCTCTTATTGTCAGCATTTATAAGAAATACAAAAGAAAGTTTGGAATAGTGAAAAAAGTAAAAAGTAATATTCTAGGAGCAGTAATACATAGAATCAAAGAACTCTAAAATGGTTTGGGTTGGAAGGGACGTTTAAGATCATCTAATTCCAACCCCCTGCTATAGGCAGGGACACCTCCCTCTAGACCAGGTTGCTCAAAGTCCCATCCAGTCTGGCCCTGAATGCTTCTAGGGAGGGGGCATCCACCACCTTACTGGGCAAGCTGATCCAGTGTCTCACCACCCTCACAGTAAAGAATTTCTTCCTCATATCTAGTCTGAATCTACCCTCTTCCAGTTTAAAGCCATTTCCCCTTGTTCTGTTGCTGCATGCCCTTATAAAAAGTCCTTCCCCAGCTTTCCTATGGTCCCCCTTCAGGTACTGGGAGGCTGTTACAAGGTTCCCCTGAAGCCTTCTATTCTCTAGGCTGATGAACCCTAACTCTCAGTTTGTCCTCGTAGGAGAGGTGCTCCAGCCCTCTGATCATCTTTGTGGCCCTCCTCTGGACCCTCTCCAACAGCTCCATGTCTTTTTGTGTTGGCATCCCCACAAACATCTGATTCATTCAAAAGCAAATAAATTGAATGTGTTTGTCAGTGAATAAATAGATGTAGGCTGAGCAGAACAGGTTAATATTCAGCTGTTAGGCTGACCCTGGATTTCTCTAGTGTTTTTGTCCTTCTGCTGTCTGGCCTGTTCTGTCCAAGCTCCCGATTGGTGTACTCCAGTTGCACTGTCACCATTAGTTGTGCAAACCTACAGGAGTATGTGATACAGTTTTGCCCTGTTCAAATGGACAAGGCTTGCACTTCCTTAATACAGACCTCCCCACTGAATGTGGACAGATTGCAGAGCTAGTCCCTTCTGAAACTGATGGCATCACACTTTTGCAATAAGTTCCTCTACCTCATTCTTACCTCACCCCGTCCAGTCATTTCTGTCTCTGAATGGGTAGTTATTCAGGAATAATGAAGAATTTGCCGTATCAAATGTACGAGCTTTGTGATTTAGTTACTTTGCATGAAACTGTTTTTCTTGTTTGAGTACAAGAATATGTTTAAAACATCAACAAGTCAACCTACCATTCTGAAGTGCCTGAGACAGTAGATAATTAAATTACAGCAGATTTTATACTAGGTGATGTCTCACCTGATTGTGGAATGTGTGCTTAAAGGAAAAGAGAATGACAAGAAACCACTGTGTACAACTTGCTATTTTGAATGGCTAAGTTGAACATACTGTGCTCTTACAAATTATAGAGATTACTACTTCTACAAAAATCAACAAATTTAACAGAAGTTTTTGGTCAGCAAAACCAATGCCTATGACCATCTGCTCATTCCAGATCACACTGTTTTTTCAAGACAGAAAACTGATTGTTAAGTATTACAGCAAAGAGGTGCAACAAGTGCCTTTTCCAAAGGGAGTTAATTTCTTAGCAGAAATGCTAAGAAATGCTAAGTCAGGGCTTGAACCAGTGATTGGTGGGAAGGGGCCAGGGGAGCTCAGGTGCAAGCAATGCTTCTGAGTGACAGGAAGGGGTGCAGCCAGGATCCTCCCCTTCCCAGATCTCATTTAAGAGTTGGCAGTGGAAGCAAGGGTATCTTGTTGGAGATCCCTGCGTACCTGGGGCCTTCTGAAGGTAAATAAATTTCTTTGTTTCTGTGTCCGTGACTGTCACATTTGAGCATGTTCTTCCTTGCTGCAACCTGGGACTTTGCTACTATGGTGTCATTGCTGTGTTTTCTATTGTGTTACAGCATTACATGGAGAAAGTTAAATGAAGGGGCTATGAATCTCCTTGCATGATCCAGAGCCATTTTCCCTTCTAGCTAATTGACATTGTTAATAAGAAAAATCCATAAATTTGTAGGCTTGTTTTTTGTAAAATAGTTTGAAATTTATATTTCTCTCTTGTAGGAAACACATCACTTATTTTAGCTAATGCTTCTGTAGTTAAATTACCTGATTATCAAGACTTTCCAAATATGGTTGTAATTTCTGGATGTAGTCTTCCAGACAACAAAAAACAAATACTTTTTCAGTTGCGTGTTGCTTATGATTTAAATTGGTACAGTTTGATTAATGAAATTAAAGAAATATTTCAAGTATACTTAGGCTTATCCTATGAAACCAGGTTGTCAGTGTCACAGTTAAAAAGACTGCAGGATGACAAGTGATATTTTTTCACCTGCCATTAAAGATTTTATCCTTGAAATAAATCTGGAAACTACCCTATGGTGTTCTTAAAGGGTAACTAAATGGGTCACTTAGTCATGAGTACCACTAGTAATTTTTTGGCTTGTGATTTGTGTTAACTGTGGTGATCATTATCTTTACTAATTTTCCACTGAAATATTGGAAGATAACAGCAGTAATTCTTATTAATTGCACCTACTTGCCATGTTGAATTTGGAAAACTCAGAATCATCCTTTTTTTTTCTGGGTAACACCTGAGTTATCTGTTAGTGATGTCTCCCAGGTTTGTCTCACCAATACAGTTCACAGATGTATGCCTGCTCTTCTTCTAAAGGTCATCACTGGAAACATGCAATCAGTTTCAATCAAAGACTGATGTCCAAAGAGAAGCTCCATAGTATCCTCCCTGCATGTCACACTTTATTAATGCAACCTTATTTATTTCATACTGCCAAGTTCCTTACCCTCATTTCCACTTCAGTCCTGATTTTTTTTTCTACTTAAAAAAAAAAAAAAAAAAAAAAAAAAAAAAACTTTTTCCTGTACTGATGACGAAAATTCTACATATGTGCTCTTAATTTATTACATGAATGATTATCTGTGATCATAAGATTGACTTTCAGAGTTGAAGACAACCTTGCCTTGACTTGAGTCAAGAGCACCCTGGAAAAGAAAGCTTAAGTCTCTTGCTGTGATTTGAATGGTGAAATAAATTGCCCTGGTTATTTATTTGGCACAAGCTTTTCCACATGTTTAAATGTTGTACTGAGGGACATGGTTTAGTGGGAGCTATTGGTGGTAGGTGGGCAATTGGATTGGATGATCTGGTAGGTCTTTTCCAACCTTGATGATTCTATGATTCTATAGGCTGTTGAAATATAAACACCATAGGGTCAGTGATGTAGACATGCCAAAACTTAGTGACTGAAGTAGCCTTTTCCTGTAGCCATGCTTTATTGGGGAGAATAATTACAGTGAAAAATGCCAAAGGATCTTACAGCCATATCTCTCAGATCCTCTTAACTCTAGTAAATTGTTAAGCAGGTTTTCAAATTGTGCTGTAGATTAAGTGTTAAATCTACTTATTGGCTTGATAATATTGTAATGAAAATCTACATTCTTCATAAGCTGATTTTAAACAGTCACTTTTCAAGTACTTGAGACAAACTGTTGGCTGTCACACTTGAGACTACTTGTATGTTCCTATTAGTCAGGCATTTCTTTTTTAATCTGTATTTGGAAAGTTAGTCTTGCAAATACTGTTATTATCTGTGATAGCGTTATAGTGCTCAGTGTTCCTTTGCAGACCTTCCAGGCAACTTCAATCTAATCTTCTTAGTAGTTGTTCCATAACAAAGGGTTGTGTGATGTAAATCACTGTGTATTTTCCCATCCTTTTTACGCTACTTGTACCATGTCTCGTCACAGCTCTTTTGCATCCTTCACATGTTGTTCAGTCTCCTTGTATGATTGTCAAATGTCTGTCCACATATTACTGTGATCAGTGGATTCCTTCAGTTTGTTGGCCTTCGTTATTATTCACAATCTACGATATGTCCTTTGGACAGATTTGGCATAGATTGCTGCTGTTTTTATCCACAGTAGTACTATCTCTTGCTGTTCAATGTTAAACTTCAGCTAGTTTATTTATCCACAGCTATATTCACAAGTTCCTTGTCTTACGTCATTACACAATTTTCAGCTGCTTTTTTTTCCCTATTTTTACATTAACAAATCTTTTCAGTCATGCAGACTATAGCTCCAGGTAGTCATTAGTTTGATCCTGTAAATGAAGAGTAGGTGCCTGTTATCAATTTGTTTTGAGGTTAGGACATTTGGGAAGAAGGTTCACGTGCAGATCAGGGTGGGTGTGCATCCAAGTCACCAATTGACTTAAATGTGGCTGCTCATTATGCTTTTTGCCTGACTCTTACACTCCACATTTACTGCCTACCTCACTATATAGCTTCTTATGCACTTTATCGTCTCATAATACAAGTGCTATTAGGAAAGTACTTGGGTTCTTTTTTTTTACAATCAGCAACTTGCAGCTGGATATCTGTTGCAGAGCATTCTTCGGTTGGGGTTTCAGTGGAAGAAATTTGAGTTCAGGGAAGATAGCTCTTTGGAAATTCTGCTGGAGCTTAACCAGTAACTAATGATTCACTCTTGCTGTTGCATTTGGGGCTGCTTGCAGTGATGTGAGTGCTCATAAGTGAAAATGATGTTTTTTCTACATGAAAATGGGGTAGCAGGTGTTTAGAACTCCTTGTTGTACAGACGGTCTTAACGTTTCAACTTCACCTTTTAAAGACCTACTAACTTTGAATTTATTACGCCATTCTGACCTAGAACACACAGGAAGTGCGTGTGTGTGTATATATCCTTAGGCATACACAGATATTGGAGCTTATGTTTGTTTAAGTTGGGACTCTGAAATTAATGGCCTTCTCAGTGACTAATGTACACAGTGACAGACGTGTAATAGATCATCCCAGCCTAAAATATTTCTGGCCTGAGTTTTCTGTAACTGAATTTAGTTATGGAAAGCTTTCTGCTTTTATCCCCTGGGATGAAGATTCCAACTAACAGAGGGTGAGAGAAGTGGTCTGCTTTCCCTGGGACACCTTCAAGGAGACTCATCCACGTGGGCCTGCCTTTTGCAACCTAGATGGCAGTGAAGTCAGGAGTGAATATTGGTTGTCTGAGAGCAAGAGAATCACTTGGCCAGTCACACAGAAACCAGCTTATTCTTCTTTCACAAGATTAACTCTTCATTTCCTTTGCTTTGAATAGGTATCAAGACAACAGCCGTGAGAAAAGGTGATGAATATGTCATAAATGGTGGTAAAATGTGGACTACATCTGGGTGCCAAGCAGACTGGATGTGCCTGCTGGCAAATACAAGTGAAGGGCATCCTCATCGAAATAAATCTCTCATATGTCTGCCGATGAATCTACCTGGTAATGACATGCAAATCTTTTCCTTCTGAGCTGATTTTATTGGTGCTTTTGTTTGTGCATGTTACAGGAAGGAAAGGTGTTTCAGATAAGAGACAACACCCATTAATGCTCTTTTAAATTAAGTGTTTCATTGTCATACAAAGACAACTCTGAAATGCATTTGTACTCGTGCTCCCACAGAAAAGGAAGAGAGTGAACAAATGAGAAGGAAATTGAATATTTTGCAGACTTCAGCTTGGGACTCCCAAACCAAATTATGTGGAAAATTCTTTTTGACCAAAATAAATCTAGAAAAGCTTTTCAGATGCATTAGCAGGGGAGTATTTCATAACATTTTCTGAGAATGGATAGATTAAGTTACTGCCAAGGAGAAAATTAATGCTTTAAAGAAATCATTAAAAATAGAGCCAATTTTTTTTTTTTTTTTTTTTTTTTTTTGAGAATAACAACATCCACAGAACTTTTATCTTGGTTTTCTGTTCAGAAAAGACTTGGAGATGCAGTCCTTGGAGAAACAGTCCTCAAAATAACGTATTTTCAATTTTCTATCCATTGAAATTTAATTTTGAGCAGTTATTACCTTTCAAAGGTTTCAAATAATTTTTGTTCCTACACATTCCTAAAGAATCCAGAACAAAACTTTCATTGAATTAAACAAATTCTCTCTGTTTTAAAAAAAGTCCTGGTGATTTTTAGGAAGTTCAAATCTTTAAACTGGCATTGCAGGTATGATGATGGTGGTAAGAAAACATTCGAATGTGTGGCATTTTTGTTCATTCAATTTGCAGTATTTTATTGTGAAATGTATCATTATCAGCTTTTAATGTGTAGAAAAAGCACAATGGCAGTGAAGCAAATATCCATGTGTTGATTTCTGGGTTCAGACTGAGAATGAAATTCTAGGTCTCCAGTGTTACAAAAGACAGTGGTGGGACATCTTAAGAAAACTTCTTATAAGTGAATTTAAATATGGAGTAAGTCAGAGTAAGCAAATTGCTTTAGGACGAAGCTAGTGGGTTGTGACTTTCTAAACCACTTTTCATGCAAAGCTGGCTTGGAATGTGAACGGGAGGTTGATCTGAGCTGATTCACTTGTTGACTTTTTGCCTTATCAATAAGTGATCAATGAATGTGGTAACTCGCAGCCAGAATCTCCCTGAATTTCCAGATGACCTTACTTATCAGCCATCTGCATAAAGTCCTCATGATTTTTCATGAAAGAGTCAGAGTACATACGTGATACTGCTTCTCTGAATTCAATACCAACATACTGTTACAGGTGGATCAAATATTCAGAAATTGTCTTGGTTTTCAGGTACTTTACTTATTCCAGAAAGATGTGAGTTATTGTAGCTTTATGAGGTTTTTTTTTTAGATGCACTACCTATACACAGAGTTGCTTTACCTTGGGTAAACAGATTTTGAGGAGAAAAATTGGAAGTCAGCTGAAAGTAATGTTCAGAGATATAGAAATCATCAGAAATGAAATCTGGGTGGGATACGAAGAGGAAAAGTATGAACAAGGCTGCCAGTTGACACAGATGTGAGGAGGAAGCTCCAGCTGCTTTGATACATCCTAAGGATGTGTATCTGCCAAAGATCATTATCTTTAGAGGGCAACAGACCAAGACTGTACAGGAAGTGTCTGGATGACATCAGAAAGATGCACTATCATGCTTCTGTAGACATATGTATGACAACACTCAAGAGTGACCACAGTGGAGGACAAGCGTATTATGTCTGACTAACTGCTGCAGTCACCAGGATGTGTGGCAGGGGAAAGGCAAGGTTCAAGGCACAGAAGTAACTTGTTCCGTCCTTGCTGTTGGTAGGAGATAAGAGTCCCGTGTTTTTCATAAAAAACATAGTTGTTTCATACATACCATGATGTAAGGAAAAAAAAATCTGAAATGAATCATTAGCTTCAACAACTGGAAGTTACAGGAGATACAAAATGGGGTTAACTTCTAGTTGTAGGTTTGTGCAGTGTCTGTTGTGCGTTGAAGAAAATCATGGCCTAAATTTGACAAACATTGCTGAAAACCTCTCATAAAGGGAATTTGGGTAACTGGTATGGATTCACAATAGGTACTTGCATTAGGCAGGTAAATACTCCTCATACTAGCAAGTATGAACTCTTTTTCATGTGATGGAAAAGAGACTCTACCAAAGTATAAATTGTCCGTGTTAGGTATGTAGACAAATGGCTAGCAGCCCTCATCTGGGATGTAGTTGTGCACTGGTTTCTCCTGTGGGTCATGAGATAGCACTTAGTAGATTGCACAGAGGATAATAAAGAAGAGAACATCCAGGAAAGGGGGAAAGAGCATGTTTCTCAAATTGCAATTTAAAATGTCTCTTTCTATTCGTAACAGCACTAAATGTTGGCAGGAGAGAATGACTACTTTCTGTTAAGACAGACTAAAAGAAATAAAAAAAAAGATTGTCAGAAGGCTGGAGAAGTGAGAGAAAATCAAAGACACTTAGAAAGAACTGTCCCAGGAAGAGACAGAGCAATCCATTTCAGTCATACTGGTACAAGAAGCACAAATAGGTTTGTTAGAGTGATTTTTTGGGAAGGCAAGCACTTGGCCTTGAAATGTGTGTTTTCAGATAGCCTGTGATTTATTTAATACAGACATGTTCTGGGGATTATTTGGACAGACGATTGCTGCTGCTGCTGGTAATTTTTATTATATAGTACTTTTGAAGAGAATGAAAATAATTAATTAAAGGAACAAAGTGTCCATTTCATAGGTAGAGAGATGATTTTATGTTGGTGTCTTTGAGGAGAAAATGTAAAGCATGTGCTAGCAACAGAGAGGGTGCTACATGGGTTTGATGAAGCTTGGCTTCCATCTGAAGGAGATTCATGAAATAATCTAACAGCAAGTGAAACTGGGAAGGCACAACAAACAAGAAATGCTGCTGGATTCAGGAAGGATGGACACACAATCCAATTGGTAAGAAGTGTGAGTGGAAGTTGTTAATACATCTAAGTCCTCTAACCAAACCTGAGTTTCCTTCATGTATGAGTTTCCTTCAATAGCTGTTACCTTATGTGGGCATTGGGCAGCGCTGAGTTGGATTCATTTAGCAATACAGAGAACTGCCAGCAGTTGCACTTATTCCAGCAGAGTCTTTAATAAACATCCCAGTAACAAGAGCACTAATTGCATCTTCATAGGGCAGGGAGCATATGGCTGGAAGTGGACCAAAATATCTGAGACTCTCAAAGAAAGCAAGCAGTAATGTTCCAGCAGGAAAAGATGTTCCAGAAATCATTTTGGCCTGTAGATGGTTTCAGAGTGTGTTTGTGTAGCTCTGATTTTAATACAGGAACAAAGCTGCTTTGAAAACAGATGCTTTTCTGGCATGAGTAGATGCAAATTGCTGGGTAGTTTTCAGTGTGAGAGTCAAGGAGTTTTATAGAGCTGCCCTGATTTTCTTCCTCCATTGAACACCTATCAAAGCAAATATTCCTGACACATAATCTGTTTTTAGATTGGCCAATGGAGTTACCTTGGGCAGAAGGTGTGAAGTATATCTGGGCATTCTTCTGAGAGCAGGCTTGGCACTTTGAAATAGTGTCAGTATCTCATCTCTGCTTTGCTGAGAGATTAAACTTCCCATAATCTTATTCAGTGCTCCTGGAGAGAATGAATTTGAAATAAATGACTGCCAATTTCTTCTGCCTGGAAGACTAAAGGTCTCCTGTCAGTAGGAGCTGAGAGATCTGTTCTATTTCAGAAAGGGATGCTCAGTAGAAGTCATAGAGTCATAGAATGGCTTGGGTTGGAAGGGACTCAAGGATCATCAAGCTCCAAAACCCCTGTGGCTCCACGGCTGCCAACCTCCACGTTCTAGACCAGGCTGCCCAGGGCTCCATCCAGCCTGTCCTTGAACACTTGGAGGGACAGGGCATCCACAACCTGTCTGGGCAGCCTGTTCCAGCACCTCTCTACTCTCACAGTAAAGACCTTTCCCCTGATATCCAACCTAAATCTTACCTCCCTCAACTTAAAACCATTTCCCCTTGTCCTGCTGTTATCTGCTCTTTCAAAGAATTGATTCACCTTCTGTTTATAGGCTCTCTTTAGGTACTGAAATGCTGCAGTGAGGTTGCCCTGCAGCCTTCTTTTCTCCTGGCTGAACAAGCCCAGCTCTCTCAGCCTGTCTTTGTAGGGGAGGTGCTCCAGCCCTCTGATCATCTTTGCGACCCTTCTCTGGACCCTCTCCAGCAGCTCCCTGTCATTCTTGTATTGGGGGCCACAGACCTGGGCACCCAGGTGGAGCTCACGAGGACAGAGTAGAGAGGGACAATCACCTCCCTGTCCCTGATGGCCACCCCTCTTCTGATGGAGCCTAGGATACCATTTGCTTTCCGAGCTAAATGAACGCACTCAAGTCATGAAAGATAACAGGGTGCGAATATGTACAGAAGGACACCACAGCAGTTTGTGTGGTGAATAATTCCTACTAAGGCACTTCAGAGACCAGGAGAGGATTATAAAAAATAATAGGGGAAAAAAAAAAAAAAAGACCAGAATTTCACCCCACTACAAAACTGGTTAGAATACCATGTCTGTGGATAGTTAAATGTTTGCTTTCTTGCAGAAGGCACATATGTTGAAAGAATGTTTTTTTTTTCTACATATATTGATCTGGCAAATGTAGTTGACGCTCCCTGCAGAAATCCTTATATCTGATTGTTGGCTTCAGTTTACCATGAAGCATTGTTGATCTCTATGCGGAATTTTTGCATGTTAACTCCAGGAACACAAGGAGGTAAAGGTGGAAGATTTCAAGGGCTATAACTTAAAAATCAGTGGATGACTGTCTAACTGTCATGGTACTGTGGTAAGCCATGCTTGCATCTGAGCAAAAGCAAGGAAGAACCTGTGGGGGAAAGAAAAATCTTGATGGGGAAAAAAGACAACCAGGGAGGAGTACCTCTTGGTGGGAGTACATAGCTGAAGTCTTACGTGGCCAAACCTGAAGCAATTTTGAGATCTGAATGGAGATAACAACAAATTTTCCTACAGGAGTCATGTTCATCTTCAGTAGGCAGCTGCACATTGGGTCAGAGTCTGTGCCGTACAGGGAGGTCAGTGGAGAAGCAAGCCCTCTTCATAAAGGATGTCCATGTGGAAACTCAAACAAGTGAATCACGATCTTTGTAAACCTTTGCCTATTTAAATGGACTAGATAGTAATTACAGGCCATCATAAAATATATAGCCTTAACAAAACTTGTAGTTGATACAGAACTATTGGATGTTAGTGTTTATAAATTGGAGTCTAACCTTTTTATTACTAGGCACAAGTGAGATCATGTGATTATAAACTCTTCTGTAGGTACAAGAGAAGGTCAAAATAGGCTTGAAAGTGAAGGATAAATGTGGTGGAAAGAGAAAGAAGAGTATAGAAATTCTCTAGTAACAGTTCAACACAATTCTGCTGTCGTTATTAAATATTTTTTTGCTGTTTCACTGTAGTACAGGGACTCAGGAAATACTACTACATTGAATTTGAACACTTTATTGCAGTGCACAAAAAATCAAACATAACAGATAAATAAAGCACTTCATGCACGATTTGAAGATGTGCCTGAAGTGAGATTATTACTACTGGTAAATGATTATTATTTGGGGATATAATTAAAAGATCCTTAAGGTTGCGATTTCTGATTTTTCTAGTCAAATAACATCGAGAAAACTCTTAGAAATGGGATGTGATCTATTTTATTTTTGCCTCCCAGAATACTATAATGTTTTCCCAGAGATAGGTTTTGCTATATCCTTGCTGAACTTCACTTTTTAAAAACACTATTTTTATACATCTGGCTTTATCTTTCTTGTAGCCTTTCTAATACTCTTTTATTTTTTTTCTTCAGGCATTCACGTTACTAAGAAAATAGACAAACTGGGCATGAGGTCATCGGACACAGCTCAGATCTTTTTTGAAGACGTAAGAGTCCCTAGCAAAAACCTAATTGGTGAGGAAGGAATGGGTTTTACATATCAGATGTTGCAATTCCAAGAAGAGCGGCTGTGGGGAGTAGCCACTGGTAAGTCATCGGTTGTGCTGCAGGGGTCTGGCAGGGACACATGGGTCACCTTACTGCATGACTAATAGCACTTTCCTTTATTCTAAATTATGACCTCTGTTTCTGAAATGTTACAGCGTAGCTACAGACAATCTTCCCTTTCTACAGGAAAACTTGAAACACAAAGAAAATATTTTCTGAGGCAGAGGCTAGCAGAGGTTTTCTTCCTTTTCTCAGTGCATTCTGCTGATAAGAAAAAACAGCATCACGTTATGTCAGCTATAAATATAGTACAAAGGCTATCAAAATACAAACATGAAATAAGATTGTGACTTTTCCTCTAGTACAGTAAACTAGAATGTTTACCTTTACCCTAGATTGTAGAAAATGAATGTAGTGCTGTGTAAAGACAGTATTACAACTTTGTTTATGCATGTTTTACCTCAATATACACTGAATGTAACAGTGTAAAACCAAATGCTTTTCCCCAGAGTTCTGCTATCGTAGAATTTCTGTTATTCTAATTATTGGTATGTTATTGGCCATTCCCAAATCCATGTGTTTGAGATTCAAAGATTTTGGATATTTTAGATAACCGTATCCAAATTTTTCCCCTTGTCCCATGCATCTGCACATTTAACTTAACATAAATACTGTTTCATTTTAAAAAGATTGAAGATGTAAGAAGGTTATGTAAGTAACCTCTGTACCCTGTTAGTGCCTGTGTGTGGCTGAGGAATTGGCAATTGTACAAAGTGATATTTTGATTCAGTGACCAGATTAAAAAAAATGACTCCCTGTTGTGGACTGATCCCAGACCAAATAATTTGGAGCTCAGATGCTTAAAACATCTTTGGTTTGGGCAAAACCTCTTAGTTCAGCCTGAGACAAATAGTAAATATGAGGGTAGTTCTAGCAAAGAGCTGGAGGTCAGACCTGGATGTGATGATGCTGCAGACACTAGCAAGGAGTCCTGTACTGGCCCTGCTTTTGCACACTGTTCAGGACATTTATGGGATGGGAGTGAAGCTGTGTTCCAATCCATGCAATAGGAACTCTTTATGCGTATTATTAAAAGCATAAATTGGGGTTTGCTGTAACAAGGGCTGTGCTATAACCGAGGGCTCCATGGTGTTTTGAAAGCAGTCAGGCTCTCTTCTTTTACTTGGTTGTAAAAGGTGAATATTCCCTGTTTCACCACTTCTCGATGTTGTTTTTCTGTTGTTATTGTCGTTTTTCCTCCCCGTGTTTAATTTGGGCTGATTCCAGATCTTTAGGCATCACCTGCAAACAGCCACCGCAGGCACACAGATCAGCTCTCTGGTACCGCTGCAATGGCCTCTGCAGGCCGGGCCATCTCAGGTCTGCACCACTGTGCTGCACGCCTGGCGCCTGTGCCAAGGCCACTTGCTCAGAACAGCTGTGGTTCTAGCTTGGATGCTGTATGCCCAGGTGTGTGCTCAGATAGTGATCATGGAGATCTACAGGATTCCAGCTGGAAGGGGCAGTTTTTCTGCAGATGTATTTTCTGTCTCATTTGTCTATAAGCGTCATCCTAAAAAGAAATCTTTCACTATTTAATGACAGTGCTATTAAACAGCAGTTACTGCTCCACCTTAGGAGAACTTAGAACAGTTTTGCACACTGAAATCTTGTCAAGATTTGTTTTGATTTATACAGTTCTGCACCTTGTGCTCTTCTTACCTTTGGTGACTGCATTTGACCACTCCCCATTTGCATGACTGGTAGCGTAAGTACTGCCTCACCAAAGGAATATGAAAGAGTTCTCCTCCAAGCAAAAAGAACACTGCCTGAAAGATTGCTTTCTGAAATGTAGCCAAGATATATGTGGACTGTATGGACTTAATTATGCACTTTTATGCTCAGTTTGGAGGTTAAGCTAAAACAATGAGAAGCTCTAGGCTGCAGAGACATTCTCCAGGCAGCAGAGCGGCCAGCAGCATTAGTCATGTTCCAGGCAGAGTGACGAGTAGTGACAGCATCAAAACACAAAGTCCAGCAGGTGAGATCACTCATGTCTGAAACCACCAGCAGCTTGGTACTGTCCAGCTTTGCACAACAGCCTGGCAACCAGCACAGTCTTTCAGGAAGTGGGACAGCAGGTCTCAATTCTCCTTTTTTCCAGAATGATGATGAACAATCTGGGAAGGGAATCTTTGGTCCCTGCTGCGACCAAGAGAGATGGAGCTCCATCCCACAGTGTCTTTGCTAGGAGGGAACCAGGACTTACTGTTCCCCAAGTTGATTTTGCATTTATCCACAGACAATCTGATGTAAAATGGGTGAAGAGCTCTGGGAGTGAGGACAAAGCCCACCTCTTGTGTCAAATTGCAAATTTCAGAGATAATCAGTTGTGGTAAATGAGAGAAAAAGTGTTCATCAGAGCCGGTTGCCTGATGAATGTGGTTTGTTACACCACAACTTTACAGGCATTGCAAGCTTTCAGTCCTGCAGATAGTTTTACAACCACAAGCATTTTGCTGAAGGCTCTGATATTTCCAGACTATGTGCATGCCTTCAGTAATTTTGTATTTAGGTCGGCACATGTTCATTCTTTTCTGGCCCTCAGATGGACGTTTCTTCTCATTCTCTATTCATGGCTATTCATATGACAATAAAAAGCATTGGTTGCGTTCAAGCACTTGAGGGACTGATCCTGGCATGCTTGCTTTGATTGCTCCCTAAAATTTGGCAGAGGCAGTTTACTGCAATTCTTTTTTTTCTTTCTTCGTTGTTGTCACTTTGGAGAGTTGTTTTTATAAAATATTTTAGTATAAAATATAGCATGAAATATAATGTGCTTCAGTCTTATTAGTTATCTTCCTCATGGCCAAATATTAGAATGTGTGTGGGGTGTTTCCTTCCCTCTCTTTTTTTTTAAACTTTTAAAATAAATTTTCAGGGAAACAAATTTAAAACATAAATGGAAAATGAATTACCTGTAAGGCTTTCTATTTTTATCAAGTTTTTCAAGAATGTTACTTTGCAAAACTGGGTCACAAGTGCGATCTTTTCTTCCAAGTGGCACATTGTCGGAGGTGTTGGTAAAAGTCACGGTGTTTCCTGCTTCATTGAGGAGGATGAGCTGCCACGTATCTGCCCCATGTTGTGACACTCAGCAAACACCGTCACTTTGAGGACCTGTCACAGCGACCACAGGAAGGGAATATCACTATGGTGAAAAAGCAAACAGTTTTCTTGTGAATTGCTTAACTTGGAGGAAAAGAGGGAGTTCAGTGAGTGTATGAGAGAGCAGAATGGCACTTCTCTAATGAATTCTCTCTGCTCCTATAGCCTCAGTTTTATGAGCACCATTGAGTCACGGCCAGTAAGCAGCATGACAGATCATTTTGCATGGACAACCAGCGTCTGTAAGAGACAGATGTTCAGCTTGGAGCTTGCTCTACACCAGAGAGGGATCAGCAGTTGCCTGAGAAAAATGTATTCATTTTGTTCTGCATTGGGTGGAGACATAACAAATCGAAGTGTGTTTCTAACGACCAAAAGTTTCAAGTAGGGTAACAGAAATTGAATGGAAGTAGGAGGAAAAGATTGACAGCTGCAGAACGACTGTGAGTGCTTTCACAATGCTCCACTGCCTGCTAGACCACACAGTCCCTGTCTTGGGGAGATGTTCCTTGCATGTGCTGTCAGCACAAACCCTTGGGACCAAGTTTGCCCGAGGATGTGAAGAATACTGTATGACAAAAGAGAAAACAAATGCATGCGAACAGATGAAAGTTCAGAGAGAAAATAGGTTCCACTGTTGACAGCGGCATTTCTTTGTACTTACTGGTAAAGTATTGTGAGCTGTTACATTGTAAGGAGTTGCTGTCAGTCCTGATTATTCATTACACGCTGCCTTGCTTTAGTGTTTGCTTCACAGTCGATCTTTGCCATTTTAGAGCTATGCTGATAGCTCTAAATACCTGTCCTGAGGAAATCTCTCTTTAATTTTTTTGCAGTTTGGTTTACCTCCCAGCAGCTCAGGCTCAGCTGTATGCTGCCCAGCTTGGGGTAAGGAACAAGAGGTGCTAAGACACTTCTTGCTCTTTCTGTAGCATTTCTGCAGCTGAAGACCACAGCAAGCAAAAAAGCTATTAGTGTCTTACATTTTACGGTATTGTTTTATCATCCTTTAAGAAAACAGGGGTGTTCCTTCCATACAAGAAACATACCTGAAAAGAGCAATTAGTTCCTGTCCAGAAAACAAATGTTAGAGCAGCAGCGTAGAATTAGCACAGAAGAAATCAAGATATTTTTAAAAGTATGTTTTGGCAAAATAAGTATTCAGGCTAGGTTTTTTTTAAGGAGGGGAAAATATTAAAGGAATAAGAAAAGCTAATCACCTTATGCAACGTGGTGGGGACAGGATGCAAAAAGCAATGCTCTGTGGAGGAGCTGATGAAAGATGGCGGTGAGGGGCTGATGGTGGGAGCCCAAGGCTGCATATAAGAACAGTGTAGGGATAATGTGTGAGAGCAGTATAGGGATGAAGTTTTAGGTAGAAGTGTTTTTGAAATTCATGCAGAATGGAGTACTGAAGCACACCATCCTCCTGTGAGGAAGTTGCATGTAGAGCCAGGGCAGGTGGGGAAAGGGATTTTATAGTACTACAAGGCTTGGTTAAATTTTATATTGCATTTTGTATTCATATTTTTGTGTCTCAGGTTCTAAATGAGGGTGAATGTAAATTGATTATTTTCAAAAGAGACAATGCAACACTTCTCATAACAATGTATTTGTGAGCTCATTCCACTCTTACCCTCCCTACTGTTAGTCACAATTACATGGGCCCACATTTTCCAAACCAAATTCCCCACAAATTCAGCAGCTGTTGTTATCCGAGCTAAGCTGCAAGAGACTGAGCCCATCCCTTCACTGACTGCTGGTTTGCCTTTTAAAATGTCTCTCTTTTCTTGTTTAAAACAGGGTTGCACTAAGGTAACTAAAAAAAAATTGCAGCAAACTAATTCTCTTACTTCAGAGTAGTTTCTCCCATTTCTGACCTGTCTTCAGGCAGTGTACTCTCTTGATTCTGTTTTCATTAGAAGCACAGCTCAGGATTCACTCAAAGTTGCTATGAAGATTCATACTTTTTCCCTTCATTCTTTGTTGAGATTAGATCACAGAATGCAGTCGTATTCTGTTCATGTTCTGTGATCTCTGAATATGTTTCTGCCTGCTCCCTGAAAGCTTTCTTGAATTTCCATTTCTACCATTGCTCAGTGTGCACACTGTCTGCCTTCAGATTTTCTTTTGGGATTGTATCTGCTCTTCAGGACACAGGTAGCATGGAAAGCAGGAGTTGCCACAAGGTTGTGATAAAAGCTCCAAATGATGTATGAAGGATAAGGATTACATACGTCACACTGTGCTCTCTCTGACTTTGCTGCACTCCTCACACCTCCTTTCACTTTCGTCTGAGTTTGGGGCTCAGGTTTAACGAGGATAAGAAATCTGTCATCAAGGTACAAGGGAATGCCAGTTTTAAGAGTTGAAACTACACCCCAGACTGAGCATAGGGAGTGATTTACTTTAGAAAAAATAACATTTTGAAAAATGTTTGTATTGAAAGAAAACTAATGCCATTTTCAACAAGAAGAAAATGAAACTGGTTTGCATTAAGAGAAGCGTGACCAGCAGGTCCAGGGAGGTGATTCTGCCGCTCTACTTTGCTCTTGTGAGACCTCCACTTGGAGTACTGCATCCAGTCCTGGGGCTCCCAACACAAGAAGGACATGAGTTGTTGGAGCAGGTCCAGTGAAGGACCATAAAGATGAACAGAAGGCTGGAGCACCTCCCCTGTAGGGTCAGACTGGGAGAGCTGGAGCTTTTCAGCCTAGAGAAGAGAAGGCTCCAGGGGAACTTATAGCTGCTTTCCAGTACCTGAAGGAGGCCTACAGGAAAGCTGGGGATAGATCTTTTATAAGGGCATGTAACAACAGAACAAGGGGAAATGGCTTTAAACTGGAAGAGATTTAGACTAGATACTAGGAAGGAATTATTTACTGTGAGGGTGGTGAGACACTGGAACAGGTTGCCCAGTAAGGTTGTGGATGTCTCCTCCCTGGAAGTATTCAAGGTCGGGCTGGATGGGGCTTTGAGCAACCTGGTGTCCCTGCCTATAGCAGGGAGTTGGAATTAGATGATCTTAGGTCCCTGCCAACCCAAACCATTTTGTGATCTGAAGAAAACAATGTCTTTTTCTGTGTTTTGATTCTTAAAGTCTTGACACCACTGGAAACTATAATACAAGAAACCATTGACTACACTCGCCAGCGGAAAGTGTTTGGTCAGTCCGTGCTGCAGAACCAGGCCGTACATTTCCGCCTGGCAGAGCTGGCAACCGAAGTGGAGCTGCTTCGCTCGCTGCTGTACCGTACCATTGGTGAGTTCCCATGTCTGCCTCCTCAGATGTGCTTTTTGCAATGCCAAGAACAGTGTCAAGCTGAAGGAATACGGGGAGATGGTTGCCAGACTGTGGTCAGTGACCGTATGTATGTAATCTTTTTTCCTTTTTAGCTCTCTATGTGGAAGGCAATGATGTGACCAAATTTGCTTCCATGGCTAAGCTAAAGGCAGGTCGCCTGGCCCGTGAAGTCACTGACAGCTGCCTCCAGTTTTGGGGAGGAATGGGATTCACCAGTGAGGTTCTGGTGAGCAGATTTTACAGGTAAGCAAGTAAATGGTGAAACCAGGATGTTTCTTTACTCAGATTTGTCCTCTTAGATATTCTGCTAAAAGATCACTCAATCAAAGGGCCAGCAGTCCCTGGCTTACATGAATAGTATTGTTCCACAGAACAGCGTGTCACTGATTTATATTAGGGCTCAGACTGCAGTCGTTGACCACACCATGCAAGTGCTGGCTGTTCTTTTGCCAAATGTTAGTCATATTATAACAATGTGGTTTGAACTACCCACAGGTTAGCTTGAATTTCAGGTAAAGGAAATAAAGTCTGTGTTTTCCCTAGTGAATCTCTGGCACCTGCCAGGCAATTGGACTAGGAAAAAAAGGCAAAGCCTATGAATGAGATTTTCTTTTTTCTTTTGCTCTTTTCTTGTAATCTTGATTACAGGAAGAGAGCTAAAATAAAACAGCAGTAGTTTTCCTAACTGTGAGGGACCACTGAAAATCAGTTTCATTTTTTTCTTCACACCTTCACTCTGAATATGTGTTTGAAAGTGGAGTTCAGCATTGGGCTCCTGCAGTAAGCTTCACTCCACGAAGAGATGCAACTGGCCCTGCCTACAGGCCTGTGGTAGTCATTCCTGATAGCAGTCTCCATGTAATTAGTCATACCAGGTACCATGTGAGACATCTGAGAGCTGTGACTGCTTCCAGCAAGTCATTAGATCATTAAAACAGTCTTTTTGTAAAGGCCCATGCTAGGCCTTTTAAATTTTGCAGTGTATCTACTTCTATGGCAAAATTCCCTCAAAGCAAACTATTTTTCTGGCTGCTGTTAAGAAAATTCTGGCCCCATCCAATATTGAGCCAGGGGACCAAGATGGAACTTAATTTTTCTTCCAAAAGTAGATTTCAGTTCAGCCCTTGTAACAAAATACCTCATTAATGGTTGGCGAAGTAGTGGTTCTGTTGGTAAATGCTGTATTTGTGTAAAGTGAGAAAAGATCATGTTAAATAAACCAGTAAAAAGCTTAATGCTTTATAATAGATTGTTTTTTTTAATATATGTGTGTATATATATATATATATATATATATTTTTTTTTTTTTTTTTTGGAGTAATGAGGGCTATTTGAAAGAAGTAGAAACAGCATGTGAAAGAGTGATGTAAACTTATCAGTGACTTCATGTCAAGTCTCTTCTGTTGAAACCAGTACAGAAGAGAGAAGAGGCATACCTTCTGCTGTAACAGGGTAACAGGGTCTAACAGCATAGGTAATACAGACACTTTCTCTTCCAGCAAATGGAGCAGCTAAACTCTCTGTTCTTGAGTGTGCCTTTCTGCAGTGACCACCCTGCCATCAATGGCAGAGTAGCAACACAGTAGGAGTTACTCTTTCTGCCTTTAAGAGCATTTTATGAACATGGAATGCCTTTGTGGTAAATCAGAGACTTTTTCAACTCGTGGATTCCTGAAAGGTACAGTCTGCTGTATGGTGGTGGTTTCAAGCCAGTTGTCAGTAGGAAGTTTTTTCTTATTTGCCTTTGTCATCACCTCTTTATTAGTAGCAAGTGGTCCTCAGTGAAGCAGATGCTGAAAGCTACTGTGGTAGGCACTTTGAATATAATGAATGCTTGTCTCAAAGCACTTGCCACCAATGTAGTCATGTATAGACACTAAGTCATGTACGTTTGCATGGCTTTGACTTGTCTTTAGATTTCCTACCCCAGGCAGGTTTTTTCCATGTGAATTGCAGAACAGTTTCTAAGCACCTCAGTACAGTCACATTTTCCCTGAGAAGAAATCCAGACTATTTCCTATTAGTATCAACTGTGTCTGCTGGCTAAAGAAATGTATCTTTCTGCTTCTAAAAAAAAAACACTTATAAATAAGGCCAAAAGTAGCGTGATACTTACACCCTAACATTTTCTGTGAATCAGTAAAATTCCCTCATTGAGTAACCATAAGCACCAGGGAGAAGTAGAGTACTACCTAAATAAACAATTACAGGTTCAAGTTAGAATCCTGTTAATCTGTAACAATAAGCAAAGCAGCAACTTTCCTAAAGCCGTTGTGTTTTTTGTACAGCAGTCTGAGTAACCACTCACGTCACTGTGATATTTGTAAAGCAGCACGCAGGGCTTACAATAACTGCACAGCATGACTGCCTGTCATAATGTACAAGGATTTTTGCTGCACAATACTAACTAAAGTTCCAAGGAAATGTTAGTCTCTAACACGTCAGGCTGTTAATCCTCAAATACTGCACAGCATAATGCAGGGTTAGTGCATTAAGTCTTTGAATTTTGGTCATTGGTGTTACTGGGGAGATACTAAACAGACCCAGCACAACAGCCTGCCAAAAGGCTTTATTCACAGCAGTCAGTTTTAGTAGCTAATAGTTTGCAGATCAAGTGTCTTTTTTAAGTATTGTATTCTTAAAAGGCGTAGCCGAAGGTACCTGTTTAACCATGTAGGAGCCTATACTGGGCTGATTTAATGTACTTAAATGTTTCATTTTCAGTTGTAGGGATTCTGAGAAGGAGAATGAGTTGGAGAAGATGGAACTGAGCCCAAAGACCAAAAGTTTAATAGAAACACATAAATTAGAAAATGAAGCCTAGGATCTCCACTCTTCAGCTTACTAGTATGATTCTGGAGAAGAGAGACAGACTGGAGTTGTGTTTGTCTGCTTTTCTCTCTCTGACATCAAATGCCTCAAAGATCCCATGTCTTAGGAAAAATCAGTTATTGAACAAAGTTCCCATCTATATGAAAGCCCAGGCTGAGGTAGACCAGGGAGAGGGAAAAATTCAGAAGCAAGTTTGTTGCAAGTTTTCAGATTTCAAAACTTCTTATAAAAAAATTCAGTTAGTGAATATTTCAGTAGTAATTGAATCATAGAATTGTAGAACGGCCTGAGTTGAAAGGGGCCTTAATGATCATCAAGTTTCCACCCCCCTGCTACATGCAGGGTCATCAACCACTAGACCAGGTTGTCCAGAGCTGCATCCAGCCTGGTCTTGAATGCCTCCAGGGATGGGGCATCCACAGCCTCCTTGGGCAACCTGTTCCAGTGTGTCAGCACCCAGTGTAACTTCAAACACTTCTGTTGAAGTAGGAAAAGCTTGTTGACTTTAAAAAGTGGGGATTTTTGTTTGTTTGTTTATTTGTCTTTTCCCCAACCTTAATGAGTCTGTGATTCTATTATAATTTTAAAGTATTAAACAATGTCTGCAGTGGCTGTCAGTTCTTACAGGTTTTACTCTTGTGGGGACAATGAGGAGAATACTGATTTTTTTCCTTGGTGCACTGTGAAAGACTCAAGAAAGCAATACTAAAAATTCTTGATGGATTGTTCAAGTGGAATAAATAAAGCATACATAGCTGCAGAAGAAATGATTTCTTTCTCCATCTGCCATCTAGGTATTGCAAGTCTTATTTGTAATTAAGGATGGCTAAAATCTAACTATAGAGTATCTCTGAATAAGGAATGAATACATTTCCTTCTAAATTATTTTTCTATTTATATCTTCCCCAAATTAAAAAAAAAAAAAATTGCAATATTTTAATTAGTTTCATTCATTATTTTATCTATTTTTTCATTCTTTATAAAGCATGTCTAAACTAGAATGAGCCCAGTTCATTGGTTTATTCTTTAGTCAGTCTGTGTAATTATCACAGTTTGTGTGAAACAATCCAAAGCCCATCCATGTGTGCTGACAAAAAAATCTACTTTGCAGTCAGCAGCTAACTGTTGGGGCAAGAATAATAACTACTGCTCAGTGATCCGTGAAAACAAATACGTGTTTTCAAGCTTTTTCTACACAGCTCTTGTAAGAGTCTGAAGATGGAAGAGATCACACGATATTAAACTTGGGGATACATCTGTAAATTTTGTGGAGAAAAATCTTGCCAGAAGTGCAATTTTAACATAATGGTGAGGGGGAAAAAAAAGCTGTTGACCCTTTGAATCAAGTGTAATTTGTGCTGGCAGGAAGCACCATTAAAATAGCCTTCTTGGAATCAGTGATGCTCTGAATCACATAGATCTTAAGGATTTGGCAAGGTGCAGTACCAGTGCTTTCCTAGCAAAGCAGGGAGCAGCATCCCTGAGGGAATAACTGCTATGAAGTCAGGCTGACAGGGAAAATAGAACGAAAGTAACCAAAACCCCTGCTCTCAAGAGTGCTCACTTTTTCACATAAAAATGGCAGTGATAACTCCCACAGCCTCAGCTAAAAAAGGGAAAGAAAAAGACTTATTTTATTTTCTCAGAGCTTCAAGTTATGTGAAGACATCTGCACTGACGATCCTGCAGGTTTGTTCAGGAGTTTTGAGCAGTAAGAACTACTTAGATCCTATTGTTATATGGCTTTCAAGAGGAAAATGTAATTCAGACGCCCCCCTCAGTGGGCAAAGCCTCTTAGCTGCAGGCAGTAAATGGTGGTAGGACACACAACTGCAACACACTCTACAGTTTTATTGGCTTGGTGCTAGACATAGATTTTGTGTGCAGTGGTAGTTGCAGCCTTAGTGCCTGTGAAGCATGTTACAAATGCAAAAGCTGCCCTTGTGTTCACTGTGAGATCAATTGGTACCTGTCCTTCATTTTCCCAGCCTGAAAAACAGCCCTGGTGATGAGCACAGCTTGGTTTGTGCTAACACCAGCCAAAAATGAAAATTAAAACTGAGCAACTGCACCAAGACTTTGCTACTTAGTAAGACACTCAGGCTGTAAATTAGAGGGTCCCTCGCATTTCTGCAGGAGGTTCTATGTTAGCTAACTGTGAAAATAGAAAACTTCATTTGGTGATGTGGAGGGTCCTTTCTGTCCTGTTTGCCTACTAACTATAAAGTATTAGTAATATGGATTGAGGTTGGTAGGCGGCAAGGGCTCCTCACCCTCCCTCGTAAGTTTTTTAAGTCAGCATTGAAGAAATGGTTATTTTTTTCATCCATCAAAAAATGGATTTTTTTTTCAGATGCGTGGGATGCCTCGATATGAGAGGAAACTCCCTGTGCGGAGCATTGCGGTTTGGGTTTGTTCGGGTTCTTTTGTGTTGAGGGGCAGTGAATGCAATGGTTATCTTTTCCCCAGGCAAATTGCTTTGGCCTTCTGATCCTTCCAGTCTCCAAGGAAAACAGCATTCAACATTATCTCTTAAAATTACACCTCTTGTACCTGTTGAGTGCATTTGGGACTGGTTCCTTACTGTCCTTGATAGGAGTGATGCCACTGCATATCAGTGCTCATCTCCCCAGAGTTCCAGGTAGTTGAGGGGCTGCAGTTCTGCACTGGAGGCCACAGAATGCAATGTGGGAATCAGAAAGCAAGGTGTTGCTGTTCAAAAGCATTCCAGGGGCAGCCTGCCTAACACCATATCAGTCTAATATTTATATATATTAAAATATTTATATACTGTGTTAATATATCACTGATATTAACAATCAAACTATTTACTTATAATGGCTTATATGCAAGTTTACTATATAATCTTCCACAGCATTCTCACAGTATTCCTGGGAGGACAGTTTGTCCCGTGGTTTTGTTATATTAAAAGCAAGTCTTATTTTTAGAAGGAGGACTAGTAGATTAACAGCATTTGAATCCTTTCTCACCTCAGTCCTTCTAAACCAGGTAATATCTTCTGTCCTATCTCACAGGAGAGAGATCAACATTAGTTGATGCCTACAGTTTGTTTCTGGAGGAAATATTCCTCAACACAGAGACAAAAATACAATCACCAGCAATTCTGAAGGACAGACTGACAGACACGCACACACACCCACTCAAGTGAAATACTCCTCTTTTTAAAAGCATTTGCATAATGGCTATCTAATAATTTGAAATATCTGTTATACAATGCCAAAGCTGGATCTCACCACTGCCTATTTATAACTTCATATAAACAAGCCACAAGTCTGAGATTTCTGCTGCAAATGGAAGATTTTTATCTGCACCACAGAGTAGTTTTGTGGAGGCATTGTCAGAGGCTTTCTGGCTTCAGAAAGCAGCACCAAAGCACAAAGAAGAAGTAACCTACCATTGTTCCAATTCCGTTGCCTTCCACAAAACTTGTATGAAGGTGTGAAATTTTCATGCTATTGAATTAAGAAGAGGCAGTTTAGCAGAACTGTTTTTCATTCATTTTTTCCTCTTCCCCAAAGAGGAACAGAAACTTGCTCAGAAAATTGCTTGAAGTGCAGTAGTTAGCATTCTAGCTAGCCAAGGGAATTGAAGCAATACTGCGAAGGATGATTTAGCAATATAAATGGTGGGTTTTAACTAAGTCGAGTTAGAAAGATCATATCAAAAGTAAATAAGCTTGGAGCAGCTGTTCATTTCTAAATCAGAGAAACTAATGCATGTTTAAACTACAGTTGTGCTAGATATTCATAGAGCCATTAGGGAGACCAGGGTGCTTTTTTTGGTTGAAGAACACACTATATAAAAAAAGTACCTTCTCCATGCAGTTCTGCAGTAGCTATGTATTGATTGACTAATACTTCTTTTACCAGAGACAAGCAAACTTAAATGCTTCAGCATGTTTTGCTGTTGCCCCCTAAAATCTTCTTCGTCTCCTACAATTCATAGAATCATAGAATTGCTCAGGCTGGAAATGGCCTTAAAGATAATCGAGTCCAACCACAACCTAACCATAGCACCCTAACTCTAACAGCCCACTGCTAAATCATGTCCCTGAGCACCACATCCAAACGGTTTTTAAACACATCCGGGGATGGCGATCAGCCACCTCCCTGGGGAGCCAATTCCAGTGCTTAACAACCCTTTCTGTGAAAAAGTTTCTCCTGAAAATTGTTGAATGATAGCAACATACAGCTTTGGCAGAGGAGCAGTAGCAACATTGCAGGACCTATCACAGACTGACTCACGAGGAGGAGGCAGTGGATGTGGCATTCTGCAGCCAGCTGGCAGATATTCGGAGCACAGGTAACTAGGAAGAGCCAGCTGACACTTTTACATGGCAGGCCAGGGATGGGACCTATCCAGCAGTCTCCATGGAAGCTGCAGGAGCTCTGGCCAGGCTTACATGGGCATTTGTATACTAGGAGAAATTGTAGCTTACTTGAAGAGTAAAAATACAGTGTTCTGCCAAGTTAAGGTTACTTTTGAAAGAATGTAACCACTGGTCACGCTAAATTGTATCTCCTCACCTTCAACTATCAACATCCTTGTCAACAGAAGGGTATTCATGGTACTGACACACAGCTGTCCGCATCGTGCACACACCAATAAACTAGGGATTTAAATGCAATAAAAACAGCTCCATAATGAATGCATAGAGGAATAAATGAGCATGTGCAATTGTTCTACCAGTACAGTATGCAAATATTTATATCTGCTCTTTGTATTTCTACAGGGATCTGAGACTGGTGTCAATAGGTGGTGGTACAGATGAAACCATGCTTTCTATTATATGCAAACACATGGAAACACTTCCAAGGAAATAACACATCTGCACTCTTCCTCAGAAACTTAAGCAAGCAAGAGCATGGTTATTACTGCATCCTGAAGGTAACAGACAACATGATTCAAGCATGGAAGAAATAGGAATGGTATTTATAAAATATCAGTAAATTTTCCAGGAAAACACTTGTCAGAGTGTTTCACCAATATCATGATGCATATTCTCCAATATCAAATTAATGTTATTGCCTGCAAGATTTTTTCCATTTTTAGTGATTTACAGCTTTGAGGGCTCTGGTGATCCCAGCTAAAGAAATCTTGTCTTCTTCAATCAAGGTACAGCTGCATTTTAGCTCATCTACGCAACCAAATAAGAAACACAACTTCCACATGGGTCCAGGATAATTTCAGTAGTAACATAATCTAATTTCACTTAACTTCGCTTTCAAGTCACAAAATTTTTATTCCATATCCACTTGATATTCAAGACCCAGCAGTGGTTTTGTTCTCAGTTCCCATTATCTTCCATATCTCTCACTTTTAGCAAGTAAACATCAAAATTAGTTACTTCAGCAAAAGCAAGTCAAAAATCACAAGCCCCCCAGTCCAGTCACCATCATTACCTTCTCACTCTTGTGCTGCACTCTGACACAGATGTTTGCTGGTAGGACAGGAGGCAGATTTTTAATTTTAGAATACTGCAAACAATACCTTACTTGTACTTTTTTGGAGTACTTGAAATTTCTGGAGGCCTGAATTTCAGCAGTAAGGTTTCACATTTTATGTGCAATTATGAATGAAAAATATTAAAGTGCAAACGTGAACATTGTAACCAGTTAAATGAGACCATAAAATGTGCACGCCACAATCAAGTTGAAACAGAAATGTACTAAATATTAAAGTAAATAAAACTAAATATTTTCAATATTTTATTGCTATCTGTTCAATAAAGTCTCACTGAAATACACATCTACTACGAAGCATCAGTTCTCCCTTCGCACTTCCTAATATTTCATTCTTTTCACTTCACTGCTTATCAGCCATACCTTCAGAAACACTGGCAACTCTCCTTATAAGGCAGAAGACACAGCATGTCTTATTGAAAAAGAAAAAAGCTTCATTGGAATTCTCCTTGAAAAACAAAGAAAGGAAGACACAAGCTCATTTTTTTTCCTCCTATTCCTTCTCCCTCAATCTCATCACATCACTGAAGAAAAGAAAGAAAAGGAGGGAGAGGGATCCTAATCTGTACGATTCACCTTTGATCTGGTCTGACTTTTAAAACAAAATTCCTGTTGGTTTTACACATGAATTGAAGGACAAGTAAGAGGCTTTTTACCCATATGCTGTGGCAAGGGAAAGCACAGCATATTGTTCAGAACAAATATGGGAAATGTCTCAGCTGTGTAACTAGTTGCACCTACCTATTTTCTACTCTATATTATGCAGATAAATACTACTTCCATTTATTGGTAAGTAAGAAAGAAATACCTAGAAATTGCTCAGACACCACGTGAGACAAAGATTGTTTTCTAAACGATGACCAAATATCAAGGGAGTGTGGATGTCAAAGTTACATCAATAATTATTGCCCTGAATGCTAGGCACTCTTACATTCTCTCAGTTGGGATGGCAAATCATAGCCTATTGACTTTCTCTGAGAATACTGTGTTTGTTTAGCAAGCCTAGCAATTCTCATATAAATATTAATACCGGGATAATAAATCTTATATGTTCTGATACTTGTAGACCTTTTAACAGTCCAGAATTAAATGGGCTAGAAACAATTGCATTTCAGTTACTTTTATAAAAGACATCCTACAGAATGTGTGATTTAGACATAATATTCCTGTTACATATGAAAATGAACATGAAAAGTGTAAAATGTATACGGCTCTATGTATTTGAACAGAGTTCACCATCACACAAGTCTAGTTGCTTAAGTGCAGCACCATTTCAAAAAACAATGGTATTCTACAGCAGGAAAGTATGCATACAAACAACAAGAATACTCCAGGACATTTTATTTGTCAGCTCATAATTAACTTATTAATGGCAGTATGCTATACAGTATTTCTAAAAAAATTATTTTAAAAATGTAGATACAATTTCAAGGTCTAGAAAACAGTATTTTTCTGTCGAACCCAGTGATGTGATACTTTCAACTATTAGAAACTACTTTGTGAGTTAAAGCTAAGTGTTAGAAGTAACAACCTTAATACGCTACCACCTCCAACAGGTGCTTCATAATATTTACATTTATCAATATAAAATCTAAAATATTCAACCTCATATTCAAACATCATGCAGAGTAGATTCAGGGTTCTCACAGAATGAAACATAAATGAGCTAATGGTACAAGTTCCAGTGATTCAATGGAATCATTAAGTTTTGAGTACTTTAAATGTAAAGGAAACATTTGCATTGTGTCCAAATTTGTTGAACCAAATGATCAAAGGCATTTGCTTAACAGAACAGACACGCAAGCATCATTTGTCACATTTAAAAGGAAGATCCAGTTTTAAGTAACTTCTCCCCCAAACAAAATGTTTAAGCTACTTAAACATGCAGACCGTTAGACCCATCAATCTAGCATCACAAAAATCACTTTTGGGGGGTACCACCATTACATTTGTTACTCTCAAGCCAGCCTTCCAAAAATCTACAGATAAAACCAATTTTGAAAGACCCAACTATTGGTCATGCTTCTGAAACCCAGAAGATCTGAAACCTAGGGAGCTCTAATTTAGAGCATGGCTCAGATTGAAAAGCAAAATGAAAGCGAAGGCCTCGTAGTTCTGCAATTATTTCATATCTGAACAACCTTTGGCTTTGGGGGAGTTCTTTGATTCCTCTTGTATTTTTTTTAACCAGTTCTGTAAAGTCTTTTATTCTAAAAAAAGCAACTTAAGAGTGCCAGCAGTTTCTGTGTACTTATAAATAATCCCCCCAAAACAGGGGACAGTGGGAGAAATTTCAATACATCAAGAAAACTGTATATAACACTGCATTAAGTACTAATGCAATTTACAATACTTTCATTGTGTTTTATCAACAGAATATGGCAGTTTAAATCAACATTGTCATTAAGACTGATGGTTGAAATTACACAATTTAAACTTAAGACAACATGCATCACCTGAGTTTAATAATCCAGTATGTTACAAAAAAAACAAATAATGCAAAGAGCATCATGTAGCATAATAGTTTTGTCTGGCTCCCTCTGGACAGCCTTCTTAGTCTGCCCATAGTCGCACCTAGAAGTCCAGTTGCAGAGTCAAAATCATTATCCTGTGTTTCAGTGAAACAGAACAGGAGAGAAGAGAGGGGAAAACAAACAAAAACATTACATATATAGTCAGCAAGAAGCTGTCAACATATTTATACAAACGTTCAAACTACATAGAAGAATGTTCTACATTACTAACTTCACCATCCTGCCCCACATTTAAAGAAAATTAGTGAAAAAGCACTTACCATTTCTGATAACAATTTGTTTTGATTTTTCACTTCTGTTCCAATCTCAATAGAAAGCTATTGAAAGAAAAAAAAAAAAAGAGGTTTAAATATGAGTCATCAGGTATACATAAATTAGAAAAGTTGCTCTAAAAATATATGATATCACTAGTGCTTTCTTGGATAAAATGTGAAAGAAATATCTGGCATCTTTGAAAAACAGAAACTGAAGTTGTAAAAACAAGTGCAGCATTCTGTCAGCAATCCTCAGGGAAGGAAATACTTATTTCAAAAACTGAAGATCCAGTCAAGTCTGAGTAGCAACTACTCATTTCCTTGAACTGTTAGAACTCCTGACTGTGAAGCAAGGGCAAGGCCTCCACAGCCACAGTGCTTTCCATTAGCCACAACCTCTACGTTTTTGTGGCACAACCTCACGACTTCTTACTGCTGCTGCTTTTCACCACCATCTATAAACAAGTCACAAGTCCACCTATTTTAATTAAATGTGGCTATAATTAAGTACTTACTGATTTTATTGCACTGACTTTGGTGCGCAGACTTTCTGTTAACCTTTCATTTTCTTCTTCATATACACTGTACCCACTGTTAGTATAGCCATAGTTACCAGCTGGCGCCCCATCACCTGTAAGCAAAAAAGCCAGTAGTCACAGACAGAAAATATAATTGGAGTAAGTGTTCTTCACTCGTGGGAAAACACTCTGCATTTAAAAATGCATTTCCTTAACAGAAATCAGGCATCTGGGAAGAGGTGTTGCATGTTGCAAGAGACATAGATTCAACCTTTTTCAAACACTGAAGTAATCTTGCAAATCAAAGTAGGTAAAGATTGAGGAATGTTGGCAATTAAATGCTATATTTTTCCTTAGAGGGTGTTTTCAGATGGTTTTTATGAAAATCAATCTAAATATTGTATGAAGTTGTGAAAGCAGCGCTGAGGTTGCTACACAGAGCAGTAAGCCTGATTCAAATAAGAAAGAAGAGCAACAAGTAACGTTTGGCTACACCTGCCTTTGAAGGAGAGAGCACACTCATCCTTACACGTCTCTCTACAAACAGGACCTTAGACCAGAGGCCAAGCCTGCAAGCAGAAGAGCACACTGCTCTTTCTGTCAGCATCCTGCAGTTCTACTCTCCTGCCTTTGCCTTTTGGGTGATGGGCTGCAGGACTGCTTTCCAGAGAACTGATCCTGCAAAGAGAGTAAGCAGAGCAGAAGAGAACTGGAGCTGGTTTCCTCAGCTCCAAATACACACTGTCCCCAGCACCTACTGGATCCCCTACTGACAGCAACTGGGCAGCAGCACTGGAGTAGGAGAAAGAAGGCTGAGTACAGCCTAGACAGAAATCAGCCTACGACCCCAAGTGTAACATTTGAAACCAAAGAAGCAAATCCAAAACAAGAAAAGCAAACAGAAAATATCCTAGATTCATTCTACTAACAATCCAGTTGTAACACTAATGAGTATTTACATGGCAAGTTGGAATGCCACACTAGTGTCTCAATGCCACGCTTTACACGCTTTACAAAGTGCTGTGTTTGGGTATTTTCCTTTTTGAGGAAAAAGTGAGAGAATAGACACAATGACATTCATAGATAAATCCATATCTCAGTTTTACTGTGTGCTTTGCATACATACTTGTAAAAGAACTATAGTGCTACTTCGATAATAGATGTCATTTTATCTCAAGCCATAAAGCCATTGCTAAGTGTACATAACAACAATTTTTCAAGGAGTCAAAATTTACAAGTTTGCACTTGTAAAATGGTTTTTAAATTTTATTCTGTAAGTTAAACTAATGACAAATACAGTAAGACAGGGTGAAATGCATCTTTTCATCAGAGGGAGAGCTGAGGGTTTTTTCCTCTTGAAATCAAAACTACTGATGCCAATGTTAACTAAAAAATTATGCTATTTAATGGAGTCAGGATTGTTCTTATTGTTTTTCTTTACAAATACATCTAACTACAGTACCTCCTACTAAGTAACAAGCAATTTTGAATGCTTGTAAGTTAATACTCATAGCAGGAGAGTTGTAACTAAATGGTCTTCAAGGTCCCTCCCAACCCAAGCCATTCTGGGATTCTATGGTTCCAGAGAGGAAATGGGAGGCTCTGTGTAGAGCCTGGCTACTGCTACTTAAAGGAAGGCTACAAACTCCTACATGGCACGTCTACAGGCTGCCTTGCAACACCACTAATTGCCAGGACATGCCCATAGACATAACCATAATATCATCTCAGGCTGAACAGGAGGTACCAGGTAGCTGGAAACAAAAGCAGACATACTGGTGTGCAGCCTGTACTTCCAGCCCATGGAATAAAAAGGTTGGACTAACAGCTGACATATGAAGATAAACCAGCAAAAAAGCTTTGAAGAGCCTAGAGAAGGGCCACAAGGATTATCAGAGTGCTGGGAGCACCTCTCCTGTGAAGACAGGAGCTGGACTT